AAGATATAAATATCCCCGATTAGTCAACAGAGTTACGTTTCGACTTGCTCTTGCTACAATGATCTCAGACTTTGGTGTTAGTGTATTTCAATTAATTGGTGCAACCCTTGCATCTCCCACCGGCCCATCATGTATAATCGCTATCTGGGGAACTGTATTTTTTAGTCTCGCATCAATTTTTTTCCCTACTTGTATTGCTCTGGTAAAATATATCTTTTATTAGTCAATTAATTAATTAATTAAAATATTAATTGAATATTTGATCATGTGAATTAAACAGAATCTACAAATCGTGTTCATTCATGGGTACAGGGGTAGACTTAAATTAGAAATGTTTTATTTCATAATTTCGATCGCTTTAGCCTCAATTCTATCATTAGCTCCGTTCGCCGATAACATGTATGGTTGGGATGTGCCTGAAGCGTAAGTTTTTACACCTAATCATTAATTTACATTTACTACAACAACATCATTAACTATATAATCTTTACTTCATAATAGGGTGTGCTGGTACCGTGACTCGGGTACAAAATTGAGTATTACATGGCAATGGGCATCATTTTACACTTGGGAAATAATTTGTATATTATACTGTATAATAACATTAATTTGTATTGGGGTGAAATTACACAAAGTGTCAAGTCAATCAATAAGCACTAATAATATTGATGGTCAAACAATGACAAGTCAATATGATAATAATGTTTTAAGGAACAAGGCTATTATATCATTAGTGGTTGGAAAGGTTATATGGTATCTATAATAACTCAGGGACCAGGTTTTTTATTTGAAACTGACATTTATGTCAACCAGAAAGTCAGTTTTGTATTTTCAATACTGGCTACTCTCCTCTCATTTCAAGGTAATTAACTAATAATAAAATTATGATTTAGCAATTTATTAAATATTTAATGATTTTTTTCTTTAGGTTTTCTCAATACCATAGTATTTATGCAAGATATCGCGGTTTCTAGAGCTTATAAACTAACAAAATTAAATTGGTGGTGTAATTACGTTAATAAATATGAAGAGTCATATCCTCATTTATCACGTAATAAAGCAATAGATTCGGCTGATCAGGTTGATCATGAAATCAAAGATGAACAAAGTCAGAAACAACCTTCCTTTGCTGAAAAATTACGATATAATTTCTTAATTTCACTCTTTAGTAAGCCGAAAGGAGATAAAGTGTTAATCGAATACGATCAATATATGACGGTAAAAGATGATGATGAATTGTTGTCAACACAATCAATGAATGATAAAAATGGTGATGATGCAACAGTAAAGGATGACGGGGATAATCTGGATCGATTTAATAAAAATGTATTATGCAAATTGTAAGATATTAAGTAATTTTATATAAATAATAAACAAATATTTCTTTATAAAGTAAATTGATGAACCAAAATGGATAAATAATATGGTAATCCTGCTTTATATAAAAAGCATCCCTGTAAGTGCAAAAAAAATAAGGTGTAAATTCTACCTGACTTCATCGAAAATCATTTCTGATATTTAAACTCTATATATAATATTGTTCTTTATCAGAATCCCACCAAAATTGATATGAAGTAGTATTTTTTATGTAATACCGGTATGTCTAAATTTAAATCTTTAAAGCCCATTGCATTGTACGTATCTATTCTTTTTTGTCTGTTGGTTGTATTATAATTATTGACGTTAATTATTATATCTATCTATTCTGACTAGTGTTAAATTACAACTTTAGATGAGTTACTTTGAACTTTATGTCCGTTCAGTTGAGTTGCTGTATTTGATAAATTTGTGCTAACCTTAGTTTCTAATGCTTTTACTCTAATGTTACTTTTTTTTAAATCTATCTGTATGTTTTTCATGATTTCTGCCATCTCATTTTTTTTAATAATTTTTTGTTTTAACAATTTTTGGAAAATTTTGTGATGATTTGCTTTTTTTTTTTTACTTTAGAGGTTGGAATCGCCCAAAAAATCCTTAGTCGACTACTAGTTGGTCAAAAATTTCTTTAGTCGACTAAATTTTTTTTTTTATAATAATAATATTTCGTTTTTAATTTGAAATTACGAATTCATTTCCATTTAAATCTTTCACTTTTTCAAAATGCTTCCACACAAAACCATGTGTTACGATTCGTTTTTTAAAAAGGTCTTCTGGAACACCGCTTAAATCATTGGAACTTGAAGCCAACGAACTATTGGACCTTGTATTGGAAGTGTTTATTCATTCTCATGTAAAATTACCATCAACAACACCACTACTATTGTCGTCATCATCATATTGATGGTATTGATATTCTTCCGCATAGAAATTTTCCATTTTGAATGATAAAACACAAAAATCGTAATTGGTCAGACAATAATAATATTAACATAGTATTAGTATCAGTATTAGTAGTATTAGTGGTAGATTCCAACCTCTATTTTGCTTCACTCATGCGTGCTACACGAGATCAAAAATTCGTTTAATTTGAATTGGGATTTGATTGCGTCTTCTTCGCCACAAAGAGCAAAAAAATGATATCACTCAGGACAAAACAATGGTCTATTTTATTAAATTCCAAACATATAAATAAGTGAGACGTTAACTTCAGACCATTTCAGCACATGTAACTCAACCTTCTACACTTTCAATCAATCAAGATAAAATTCAAGTTTACGAATGTGCACGCTATATGATCACATTCAAACCATGAAATATTATTCTTGATTCTGATGGATAACTAACCTTTTATCACACCATGAGTGATAATCACAAAGATTTTGATATTGATCTCCAAGAAAATGTTGAATCTTTTATTTTTAATTCATTTTATAAAGAAAAATTCACCTTTATTTATACATTAGAAAAGACTTGAATAACTTTAATCAAGACAATGAATAGTAAGGTTATAAATAATTTTATTTGAAGGATTATAATTTAATATTATTATTTAATATTAGTGGATTTTAGAAATCTATTTTCGATTCATTCGTTATGTCGTAATTTTTTGTGACCCATCTGATTGTTTTAATATTAAAAAATTCTTGTTTCAACAGGATTTTCGTGATATATAGTGGTACTACAGGTTTCCAAAATATTTGGATTGTTGGGATGCAAATAACAGACCATTGGGCGTACATATAACTAACATTAATTATGGTAATTGGTAATTGAAAGAAATCTAATAAAATTACATTCAATCACGCATGCAAACAGGATTTTTTTTTTAATGGTTTTACCATCTACTTACTTATTATAGTAATGCTCGCACACAATGAGATTTTTTAATGCATTAAAATAACCTGTTTGCGAACCTTAATACTGGATTTGAATTTCCTGGAACAAGGTTTTCTACATATTTTGGATGTTATTACGGTAATTCATTTTTTAAGAAATATAGTTATGCAAATGGAATTTACTAACAAATTTAAAAGTAATTGTCATCACAAACAAACTTAAACCAATCAATTGAAAATGATAGGAGAACAGGAATTAAAATTAAAACGTTAAGAATCAAACAAACAAAACTGGTCTAGATAAATACTTCCTGTTTTTTACTTTGTTTCCATTTTTATTCTAACGGATTTTTGATCTAACAAAGTATTTTTTTTTTTACCTTTCGATATTTTAAATAAGGAAATTCCTATATACAAAAAGGTTCTTTTTAAAAAAGGAAATTTAATCGTGGTTTAAATTTTTGTGATTAAAATTTGTGGTAGGAATTACAGAGGATTTACTAACACTAAAAATTAAATTTTATTTGTTCCGTATATTTCATAAAACCCCTTTAAATAAACAACAAATAATATACTCCTTCTCCCTCTTCTTGTATTTATTAATTAGGTTATATAAAATGTCGGATCCAGTATCAAATGACATAGAAACTGTTATATATGCAGTAACCCCTGAAGAAGGGCAGGTGGTTCTTCTGCTCTTATTATTATTAATTCAAAGCACAGCATCTGTATTCGGAATTTGACTGTTTTTTTTTTCTATAAAATATAAATACCCCCGATTAGTCAACAGGGGTTACATTTTGACTTACACTTGCTACAATGTTATCAGACTTTGGTGTTGGTGTAACTCAATTAATCGGTTCAACCCTTGCATCTCCTACTGGCCCAGCATGTATAGTCACTATCTGAGGAACTGTATTTGTTAGCCTTACATCAATTTTTTTCCCTACTTGTATTGCTATTATAAGTATATCGTTTATTAGTCAATAAATTAATTAATTAAAAATATTAATTGGGAGATTTGATCATGTGAATTAAGCAGAATCTACAAATCATGTTCATTCATGGGTAGCAGGGGTAGACTTAAATTAGAAATGTTTATTTCATAATTTCTATCACTTTAGCCTCAATTCTATCATTAGTTCCATTCACTGATAACATGTATGGTTGAGATGTACCCAAAGTGCAAGTTTTTACATCATTAATTTACTAATCTTTACTTCATAATAGGGCGTGCTATTACTGTGACTCAGGTACAAGATTGAATATGTATGGCAATGGTATCATTTAAGGTTTCTGGTCCAAACTGTTTTCTCAAAGCCCAAACTAGTTTGGGCAATTTGGGCTTCTCAACATTTTCTATAAGCATGAACATTAAAAAACTATATGAATCAACTTGTTTTAACTTAAACAACTTTAAAATAATTTCACCCAATTTCGGCTAATAACAAAAAGTAGTTTGGGCTTATAAAAAATAATTTTTGCCCAAAGTATTTGGGCAATTTCGGCTACTAATAGAAGTAGTTTCGACCAGAAACCTTAGTATCATTCTATGCTTGGGAAATACTTTGTATACTATACTGTATGATAACATTAATTTGTGTTGTGGTGAAATTATATAAAGTGTCAAGTCAATCAGTAAACTCTATGTAAAGCCCATTATTTATGTATCATTAAATAAATATCAATTAAAAAACTCTCATTACAGTGAACCTTACCTTAAACTTAAACTTGAGAGTTTCAAGTCACAGCATTGTACCTCATTAGTTTCTGTGTTTTCAATGACAAAGCAAAAACACAAAAATATATTTTAACAAATATTTAAAAGTCCAACAAATTACAATTGGTCATTGATCATCTGTCTGTATCTGAAACACAACACTAATTTTTCAACAGTACAACAACAATGAGAATATAGACATTCAGTATTGTACACTTTTGCATTCCTGTACTGTATACTCTACAAAATTGAAAAAATCATTCAGTACACAACACCCTCCACTATAAATTCTGTACTTGTACTATTTAAAAATCAATACAGAAATACCAATTTACAGATCATACAGTACAGGAATGCAAAAGTGTATAGTACGGAATGTCTACCAACTGAACAACAACCTTTACTTAGTGTGTAAGGCATTTAAGTTCACAAAGTAAAAAATTTTTTTTTATGCAGATTGGAGAACAGGCCAAATATATTATCAAAATTATTTGACAATTAATAGTAATTGTAAACATCTATTACAATGTTTGAATTAAATGATAGTTTGATTTTAGTCTAAGCCCTTGCTATTTTGTAATAATTAAAAATAATTAAATCAAAATTAAAGTGATGTAACATAATGCCGATCATAAATAAAAAAATTGGATCAAATAAAGAGGTACAAATATGGAACTAAGAGAAAATATAGTAAATAGATCTAGCTTTAGATTACAGAGAGTTTTTTTTTTTCTTACCAAATAAAAAAATTTTTTTTATATATAGTAAAGGCATTGAAAAAAAGTGCCAATAGATAAACTTTATAACCAAATGAGTTGGGGCAAAAGACTCTCTGTAACTTTATCATAGAAGACTTAAACAATAAAACTATAAAAGGTTTCATTCAATTTTATTATAAAAAGAATTATTTGATTTATTATTAAATTTTACCATAAAAATTTCCATCATAATTGATAAATTAATAGGAATTTCTTTTTTTTTTTCAAAAAAAATTATTCTTGGTCGAATTTTTTGTGTGAAATATATGATAAAGATACTAAAAAATCCGCACGTAATAATTTGTTATTATTATATTGATGTAACATATGTTTGAACACCACAACATCCGACGGCATAATCTCAATAATGATAATAATAATATATAGGAAAATTCCTATTATAATGATTGAAATAAGTTGTTCAAGCTACTGGTTTATTTAATTCTATGAAAAAAATTATATTGTTTTTCATTTATATTAAACGAATAAAAAGCTGATGAGTAATAAAATTTTTAACGTTAGTAACTATTGAAAGCACATTCAACATCTAATTTTAGAAAAGCGTGTTTCTCTTGATATGCATAATAATAATAATCTCATGAATCGTCGATTTGGAACTATTGACCTTTGCTGGTACAACAGACATTAAAGTATTACGATCAGCAAGCAATCCAATCAGAATGCATGTTAAAATTGCACAGATGTACAAAATTATTTTTCGGGTCAAATCGTATAAAGTGACAGATGCGGTTTCTAACCAAATATGAAAAAATAGTTACATTACATATTTGGTTAGCATGTACCCTCTTCACCCTCGTAAGACCCCACAAATTTTATAGATAGGTTACTGCTGCAGCCGAGTCAGATTCATATATAAATTTAAATTTTTTGTCAGTAATAGTAATTATTTAGTGATAGGTCAATATTATTATATGCATCAAAAAGGTTGGTTAGGTTTAATCTATTAATCAACGATTTATTAGGGAACCAAAAATTTTGTGTACCGAAATTTTTCTTTACGTACTCGTTCAAAAAACAAAACCAATACTTTATAGTAAATATTTTATATCGTTAAAATATTATAAATTATAAAAATCAATGAATTATTATCAGTTGAATCAATTTATTTGTAAAATTTAATTCCATTACAGTAGACAGTTTCAAAATTTTTAATGTTAGTATATATTATGGACAAATTATGTTCTTTTTTCTAATGTATTGCAAACCTTAGTTAGGGTCAAATTATATATTAAACTTAATTTTGGTCTGGGTCAAATCGTATAACAAACAGTAAATTTTGTTACCAACCTATCTATGAAGTTTGCTGGGTCCCATTAATATAGTAATGTGTATTTATTTTTTTAAGTTTGGAAAAATTATAAACCTGTAATTAATATCACACGAATCCTGTTGAAACGAGAATTTTTTAATATTAAAAACAAACAGATGTGGTGGTTATAAAAAATTAAGACATAATGAATCGAAAAATAGATTCATTATTTCCTTTTCCAAATATCTGAATTGTTGGATCATCCAAAAATGCAAATGACGGGCGTACATATGAGATTACACACTCAGCACCGGTAAATGAAAGACAGTGTAATGGGTATCAATTACATTCAATCACGTCACGAAAACGGGATTTTTTTTACCATTTAGACTTATTATAGTATTGTTATATGATGATCGTACACGAGAAAACGACTTTTTAATATTGTTTAAAATACATTGGAGTATCCTGTTCGCAAACCTAAATACTGGTTTTGAATTTCGAGTGCATTTATTTTATTAAAGTAATTCATTCGATGTTTTAAGAAATATTGTTTATGCAAATGGAATTCACATAACATTAATTATTTAAAAGTAATTGTCACCACAAACTTAAACCAATTAATTAAAAATGATAAGATAACAGTAATTAAAGTGAAACCGTTAAGAAGTAAACAAACAAAACTGACATAGATAAATACCTCTTGATTTTTACTTGTCTCCATTTTTATTCTAACGAATTTTTGATCTAATAAAGTAAATTTTTTTACTTTTCAATATTTTAAATATTATTGTCTTTTCTTCATCCCAATTCTTCTTCTTCTCTTGTAATTATCTATTAATTAGGCTATAAAAAATGTCGAATCCAATAGCAAATGACACAGAAACTGTCACATTTGCGATAACTGATGAACAAGGGAAGATGGTTCTTCTGCTCTTATTAATTCAAAGCACAGCATCATTGATCGCAACTACGTTCGGAATTTCAGTGTTTTTTTCTATAAGATATAAATATCCCCGATTAGTCAACAGAGTTACGTTTCGACTTGCTCTTGCTACAATGATCTCAGACTTTGGTGTTAGTGTATTTCAATTAATCGGTGCAACCCTTGCATCTCCCACCGGCCCATGTATAATCGCTACCTGGGGAACTGTATTTTTTAGCCTTACATCAATTTTTTTCCCTACTTGTATTGCTCTGGTAAAATATATCTTTTATTAGTCTATTAATTAATTAATTAATTAATTAAAATATTAATCGGAGATTTGATCATGTGAATTAAATGAATTAAACAGAATCTACAAATCGTGTTCATTCATGGGTACAGGGGTAGACGTAAATTAGAAATGTTTTATTTCATAGGTGCGATTACTTTAGCTTCAATTCTATCATTGATTCCGTTCTCCGATCACATGTATGGTTGGGATGCACCCGAAGCGTAAGTTTTTACATCTAATCATTAATTTACATTCATCATTAATTATATAATTTTTATTTCATATTAGGGTATGCTTTTTCCGTGACTCAGGTACAAAATTGAATATTGTATGGCAATGGGCAGCATTCTACTCTTGGGAATTACTTTGTATATTATATTGTATAATAACATTAATTAGTGTTGCGGTGAAATTACACAAAGTGTCAAGTCAATCAGTAAGCACCAATAATATTGATGGCCAAACAATAACAAGTCAATATGATAAGAATGTTTTAAGGAACAAGGCTATTATATCATTGGTGGTTGGAAAGGTTATATGGTATCCTGTTGTGCCTATAATAACTCAGGGACCAAATTTTTTAGTTGAAACTGACATTTATGTTAACCAGAAAATCAATTATGTATTTTTAATACTGTCTACTCTCCTCTCATTTCAAGGTAACTAACCAATAATAAAATTATGCCATGTGATTTAGCAATTTATTATTAAATATTTAATGATTTTTTTCTTTAGGTTTTCTCAATACCATAGTATTTATGCAAGATCTCGCGGTTTCTAGAGCTTATAAATTAACGAAATTAGATTGGTGGTGTAATTACGTTAATAAATATGAAGAGTCATATCCTCATTTATCACGTAATAAAGCAATAGATTCGGCTGATCAGGTTGATCATGAAATCAAAGATGAACAAAGTCAGAAACAACCTTCCTTTGCTGAAAAATTACGATATAATTTCTTAATTTCACTCTTTAGTAAGCCGAAAGGAGATAAAGTGTTAATCGAATACGATCAATATATGACGGTAAAAGATGATGATGAATTGTTGTCAACACAATCAATGAATGATAAAAATGGTGATGATGCAACAGTAAAGGATGACGGGGATAATCTGGATCGATTTAATAAAAATGTATTATGCAAATTGTAAGATATTAAGTAATTTTTATATAAATAATAAACAAATATTTATGATTCTTTTTTTATAAAGTAAATTGATTTTTGTAAAGTGATTTTCGTCTGTAAACGAGTGACCTGCTCCAGATTTGCCCAAACCGGGTTGGACCCGAGCGTCCAGTCTGATTCTACAACTACTTTGAGTTGGTGAGAATTGATTGTGTACACTATACACATCCAAAATAATGATAATAATAATAAAGGACTCATTAATACGTTATTAGATGAACCAAAATGGATAAATAATATGGTAATCCTACTTTATATAAAAAGCATCCCTGTAAGTGCAAAAAAAAAATAAGGTGTAAATTCTACCTGACTTCATCGAAAATCATTTCTGATATTTAAACTCTGTATATATAATAATGTTCTTTATCAAAATCCCACCAAAATTGATATGAAGTAGTATTGTTTATGTAATACCGGTATGTCTAAATTAAAATTTAAATCTTTAAAGCCCATTACATTGTACGTATCTATTCTTTTTTGTCGGTTGGTTATATTATAATCATTGACGTTAATTATTATATCTATCTATTCTGATTAGTGTTAAATTACGTCTTGACACTATTTTTGTATTGGTTTCAAATAGATTGAAATTTTATTTATTTTTTCATTTATTTGTTTTGTTTAATTTTCAAACTCTTTGATTTCTGAAATAAGGGATTAATCACTTGATTCGTCATCTTTTTCGTGTATGTTTGGATATAGAAAAAGTATTTTTCCTCTTGGCAACATTGCAATATCTGATTTATTATTTCCTTTTTGTGTGTGTTAATTTTAGATGGGTTACTTTGGACTTTATACTCGGTTGTTTTATATATTTGATAAATTTGTACTAAACTTAGTTTCTAATGCTTCTATCTTTAACTTTTCTATTTTCTATATCTAACATTATTTTTTTTTAAATCTATCTGTATGTTTTCATGATTTCTTTATCTCCTCATTTTTTAAATATCAATATTAGCACAAATTAGTTTCATTTCGTTTAACTTTTTGTTATTCTGGTGCACATGAAAATTTTTTATGTAAATCACATGATTAGATTTTTTTAATCTCGCGTTTTTTATTCAGTCGTATCTTATTTAAAAAAAATTATTAGACATTTCGTTTTTACATGTATTTAATTAAATTTGATTACCTTCGGTAATGAAAATAGGTGTTTATGTTCTTGTTTTAGAAAGCATGGCAATAATAATACTTGTAATCATTAAGAATCTTTTCATCAAATAATCGTTGAAAAGGAATTTCCTTCTTTTAATATTTCAAATATTTCAATTTATTCTATAATATCATCTATTCACAAAGTGTAAAGGCTCAAATTAAAAATCTTTTCAACCATACAAATTCACTTGCACAATCTTTTAATAATCAAAAAATTTCCTCTATGCCTAATGATATCATTAAATTTAATCCATGTGAGGTGAATAATAAGTAAAGCTCCGAACGCGTCGGGTTCGACGGGTTAGGTGACAAATCCGAATATTTTAATTAATAATATTAAAGGCAGTCCCGAGACCGACCCGAAAATTTCGGGTTGGTTTCGAGTTAATAAGAAAATTTTACGATTTAGATAAACTTATTCAACTTTTATTAATTAAATATAAAAAGTAGAAACAGTTATATGGTTTAAAAGCCACAATTGGTGTTGTGCGTGATGTAAAACACAATTCGTGATAAAAGAGATGCAAACGCAATTCGTGATGCAAGACATAATTCAAGACACAAGTCTGGTGATGGTGGCCGGAACTAATTCATGGTTTAGACATTTAGGCAATTTTGATTTAGGCCTGATTTCGCCCATGAAAATTTTCTGGAAAAAATGGAAAAACACAACTGTGAGCGAAAACCTAACGGACAATTAAACCATAAAAGAATTAATTTGTTTTATTATTAAATTATAAAATGTTTATTATTATTACAATGACCTTTTCTTTCAAAATTAATTATTAATAACAGGGTGATAGAACCTTTAACATGTATCATGTATCATCTTCATCATCTTTATCATCATCATAATAATAATTTAATAAATAATGCTGTCCTTAGCCTTGTCCTTGTCATAGTCTTCGAATTATATTTTTGTAATGATAATAAATCTATCTCTAACAATGAATTCATACTAATCCCAAGCATAATAAATTTTCTCTTATTTTGTATTTGTTTATTTTTTTTATTATTTTTTATTTCTTTTCTTTTCTTTTAGTGAGGTAATATTTGATGAATTTTATTTAGTAGTTTTTAGATATGTGCCTGACTTGGTAGTAAAGAGAAAACAGCTAGAAGGACACCCATCAAGAAACACGATCAGGATATTATTTAGTATTTCTTATACTAGATACAGTCGTCATGTGTCAATTCTTCATTGCAACTAAAGTTCAAATTTTTTTTTGTATATATTTATTTACAAAGAAGAAAAGTCGTTTGATACAAATGAACAGAAGGGGGGGACCATAACGATAAAACCAATTATTATGTGCTGAGAAAAATGCGGCAAGTATACATTGGGTGTGAGATGTTAATTATCAGTACTTAATATTAATATTAATTTAGAAACTTCACGAGTGAAGTTTTTTCATGGAGCCTGGCCTGTATATATTTAGTTTAACATTGAAAATAATTATAATAATGAAATAATGAAATAATAGCTAAACAAAACAACAATCTCTGACAATTAAATACATTGGTGTAAAAACGTGGTTTTATTTTTATTAAGTAATATCAAATAATCTTATGCATAGATATAACTACATTCCATCTGTAGTTGATTAAATGATACAAATCTCCTATTCTACACCAATTAATATTGTATGAAAAATCATTTCCACTATGCAAGTCATGATTAATGTAATCTTTTGAATGAATTGCCATCAATCTAACTTATAACAACAATAAATATTAAATAATTACAATTCTGTTTTTTTTTAATGTTAGCTTTGAATAATTTTTTTGTAAATAATCCCGTAAATTTTCTTCTCAAGCATAACTTGGAACCATCGCATAGTTGTTATTCTCTGGAAATTTAGTTATGCCATAACATGGAATAATCATTGATGATTTAATTTTACAATAAGGGTCATCCTATATACAGAAAGGTTCTTTTTATGAAATATACAGAACCTACGTGACAAATAAGAATTTATTTTTAGAGTTGGTAAGCATTCCATAACTCCTACCACCCCAAGCCTCACAAGTTTAATCGTCACATACAAATAACTGTCACGAGGATGTTACAAAAATTTGAGCCATTTCCTTTTTTATAGAATAAATTTCCATTTTTGGTAGGGTACTGTATATTTCAAAAAAAGAACCTTACTGTATATAGGATATTCCTTACAATAATTCAATGCCTAAAAATTATTCATAAAAATTGTTAAAAAAAAAAAAAAAAGATTTATTAATTTTTTTTTAATTTAAAAAATACAAAGAACCTTTTTCCTGGACCATTTGAATTATTTAAACATTTTAATACTACATATAGATTTTCAGCATAGCTAAATTCTTTTTTCTTTTCGTCATAGTCAACTATAGGTCCTTTTGTCCATATGGCAGTGTAAATTGAACTAGATCCACCTTCTGTTAACTTTTCTACATTTTCAAATTGATTATAAGGTATCCATTCGATAATTTGACGCGGAAATGATGATTTTATTTGAGATTGTTGAATGAAATTGTCAACAATATCGTTTCCAGATGTCCAAGCGTTGAAAAGACTCTGTAAGTGTAGACTGATACAATTTTCGCCAAATTTATTTGAATATCTTGTCGACTTACGCTTTTTACATTCAAAAGGTTTACCACATTTATATAATGCATTTTGTAATTCAAATACATAAATATATCTTTCTATACAATGTTCGTTTTTTTTTCTATTTCAGAAGTTGTTTATTTCTATTGCCTAATTGTAAAAATATTCTTTTCTCTATCAGGTATAATTGAAATTGCAAATACCCTTCTTTCTGGCGACAATGACGATAGTAATTGATTGTAAGACATTTTATTAATTTTATACTGTTACATTCTATCGATTAAATAAAAATATGCCTAATAATGAAGCATCAATTATCACCCCCACACATCTCGATTAGATCATTTAACACAGCAGTTGTAATTTTTAAATTTGACTTCTAAAAATAATTTAACAATAACATAATTTAATTAATTGAATTTTATCTGATGATTGAATTTAAATATTGTGTTATCAAATAATAATAATAAATTTCAATAAGTTACATTTTTAAAAATATTCTTTGTAGTTAAAACATTTTTTACAGTAAAAAAATTTTTCGTTGCAATTAAAAGTTGTTAAAAATATTAAAAGCCTTTAAAAAAAAATGGTATTTAAAAATAAACCACAATTATTATTTTCCAAGTCTGAAAACATTGATTGTACAAAAAAAATTGTCAACATTTTTTTGTTTCATCCCACTAGTAGGTTATATGTATTGTTGTATGTCGAACATTGTTGTATTTAAAAATTCCAATCTTGGTTTCCTTCAGGTAGTCAATTAAGATTTTTCTTGCTTCTTAAACTAATGCCGGAATTACATGTGATCCAAGGAAAAGGTCAGAGTAGGTGGTGTAAGGATCATCTTGATTCAATAGTGGGTCTTTGTATGTGGAACATTGTTGAAGAAGAGTATAGATATCAATGTTGGAGTATTTGAGAGAATTATTGTATTCTTCGAACCAAGATCTAGCAATTTGTTTGTTGGGTCCCACACAAGGCCAATTTTTTAACAGATATTTCAAAATAACTTCTTGCCTATATGGTCTTTCCGCTTCATAAATTATCTCTGCTTTTAATCTTTTCTAATATCCATTTGGAAATTGTTTGTCTAATACTGCAAAATAATATATTGCTCTTTTGTAAGAAGTGAATCGAGTGTAAATATAATTGGTGCTGTACTTGGTTTTTAGGTTTTTTCTCCTCGAGAATATCTTTGGCAAGTTTATCGATTTTTCTAATATATATGTGTTTTTTTCATAAACAATTTGCTTTCCTCATTGCATTCAGGACATTCCCTGTAGAAAATTTCATGCACATCTAACCATTTGCCAATTGCCATCACTGCCTTATAATATCCATCAATTTTTTTTTCGCTTCTTTTTGTTTCTCAATGTCAATGGTGTCAATGATATCCTCACCATATCTCTTTTCTTCTTCCAGAGGAACATAAAGGTCTTCTTGTTCTCGTATTTTGCAATATCCACTGTTGGCAATATGGCAATGTCTCTCAGCAGCATCCTTTACCCAGAGTTCCATACAAGGCTTCATGTAAGGATTGGGCTCTGTAGGAGGCTTCATGTAAAACCTGGGCAATCCTTGGTATACATTAGGAAATTTTCCCCACCGCAATATTATGTCCATAAATTTTAATATGCAAAGTTGTAATATTTGCATAAAAATTATGTAATATTTACACTCAATGTAATAATTGCATAATTTTGTATGCTTATTTGCATAATATTACGGGCCTGCTGTAAACTTACATAAATAGTGTAATAATTACGTAAATCTGCGTCAGAAAAACTTCCTGATGCTAAGTAATCATCTCTGAACAATTTTAAGAGTTAATATGTGTGTAAAAGTTTAAGTAATTAATGTCATTAAAATTATATAAATGATTAATTACATGGTGGTTGAGGTGGTCTTTTCATCATAACAAGTGGCACAGCATCTAATGTGAAATTGCCAATGAATTTTGTTTGAACTAGTATAACCACAAAACATGCAATCCCTTGGCGAAGCAAGAAAAAACCTTATGTATTGTAGTTCATTCTACCCTGGTGGTGGAGGTCGTTTCAATTCTGATACATACAGTACTGGACAAAAGTATCGGACACCCTAAATATATTAATTACACAAAAACATACATAATAAGTATACAGGGAATTTATGTCAGTTTATAGCTTAGGTTTCAAAGATTATGTATATAGGATCTTATGTTACCGAATTTTCTACACGCAATTAAAAATAAAAGAAATACGATCATTTTTGGAAAAAAATCCCTATGAAGAAATTTTTGACAATTTTTCTAAAAACTATATATATATATAAATAATATGGTTTGAAATTTTTATATATGATAATCTAAGATCTTCTGATGGCTCATTATTGAGTGCCATGATTTTTAAGCCAATCAAAATAAATTTATGATTTGAATCATAAATTTATTTCGATTGGCTAATTCAATAAATTTATTTTAATTGGCTAATTCATAAAATTTATAAAATTTATAAAATTTATCACAATATTAAAAAAATTCTAATTGCATCAGTAACATGGTATGTTTATATGTTATTAATTTATATATTAATTTATATATACATATATATATATATTATTAATTTATATATCAATTTCATAATTAGCATTTCCTTTTTATATGTTATCAAAATCTGGGTTTACTTTAGAATTGGTTTTAGAAATTTTGTCTCTAATTCCAGATATTGGTCTTGATAAGGTTGTTCAAAGGATACGTGAGAATCATATTGATTACTATTTAAAAAAAGAGAATCATTATTATGAACATTGCATTAAGTATCAAAACTATTTA